CCCGTCACAGCCCCTGCCCACCCCCCCACCCTCTGGCTGCCCCAGCCTGGCTCATCCCAAAGGCTTGGGGCATACAGAGGGGGACACAGAGGAGCCCGAGAGCATCTGTGGAGGTTGCCAAGGCCACCTTGCTTGGCAGTGCTTGGGGATGCTCTGCAGGGGTGTTCTCACCATCCCCTCCCCACGGTGCTGTCTCAGCACTGGGACTAGAGCTGGGAACATTCCACTCCAGCCCAGGGGTCCCTCCCATCCCCATGACCCCAGCACTCACAATGTCCGCAGCTTGGGCATGTGGTTGAAGCTGGACACAGGGATGGAAGTGATATTGTTGTTGTTCAGGGTCCTGCAGGAAGGCAGAGGAGGACAGGTCAGGGCAGAAGGTCAGGGTTGCCAGACCATAAATGGCAGCATGAGATGGTCCAAGTGGTACAAATCCCTGGGAGCAACAGCACCCACCCACCCCCTGGCACAGGGTGGATGGACAGAGAGGTGAGGGATGGCGACAGCTCAAACCCCCAGGCAGGGTTTGCTGCTCTTTCCAGGCTTCTCTCCTCCACAGCCAGCTGCAGGCAGGTGGACTCCCTGGGGCAGGATTGGGCCCTGAAGCACGGCTCTGCAGCAGTGGTACCAGACCCCTGCTCAGCCCCTCCTCAGGGCCAGGGAGAGATGGCATGCTGGAGATGTCCCTGCAGCGCCTTGGTGAGGGGGAGCATCCAGGAACACCCTCATCCCACATGGGGATTACTGGCTGGAGGCTCCAGCCAGCCCCTGGCCACTTACAGGACCTCCAGTCCCCGCAGGGCGCGGAAAGCCCCATCCTCGATGCAGCTGATCTGGTTCTTGTCCAGTTGCCTGCAGGAGAAATACGGAGGCAACATTGCTGGGACAGCCCAGGCAAAGCCATCAGTGACTTCCAATGCCTCCTGCACTGGATCTGACTCCAAACTCCCTTGTACCCGTCCCTGCCAGGACTCACAAGTTCTTGAGGTCAGTGGCTCCACGGAAAGCTTTCCTGGGAATGGCCTGGATGAAGTTCTCACTCAGGTCCCTGCAGAAGAAAGAGGCAGGAAGGAAAATGAGCAGTGCCTGCAAAGCACAATGCCCTGTGGGATCAGGGGTCCACAGGCAGGGGCATGCCCGGGCACTCAGTGATCCCCCAGGGACTCTGGGAAACTGTAATTTGGCTTCAGGTCCTTGGTTGCCCACTGCCCCGCCAGCTGTCCTGAGGCAAGTCCAGCTCCACCCATGGTGGCTGCAAGTGGCTGAGGCTCTGATAAAGCAGAGCAGCCAGGCACAGCTCTGGGAAAACCCTCCGTACTTAAATACCCTCTGACTGCTATAATCACAGGTCCCTGCTGATTAACTGGTAATTACACTTAGTGGCTCCAGCAGGCATTCCCATGGAGCCTGCCCCGCACTTTAGAGGGCAAAATAATCGGGTCATTAATTACTTCATCACTACACAGCACCATCTGTGCAATCACCTACTCTGCAATGCCAGGGCATGCCAGGCCAGCACAGGCTCTGTGTTGTGGGGCTGGCAGTGGGTCCATCTCCCATCACGCTGGGCTGCCTTTTAAAAACCATGAAGGCCAAAAATCTCCCTGCAAATAGGCTCTGAGTGGACAGGCTCAGCTCGCCCCATCCTTGGGGGGACCTGCCGATCGTATTTGTGCCCCACGGCTCCCATGCAGCCATTCCCTCTCCCAACCCATGGGCCACGAGCTTCTCCAAGCTCGGCAGATGCCTGTGTTGCCTGCCCCAGCCCCACGCCAGCACAGCCCTGCTCCAGCCACCCATGGCACAGGAGACCATGTCTCCGGCTCCCTCCTGGCACAGGGAAACTGAGGCACGACACCACATTTGTCCTATGCAGCAAGTCCATGGGTGAGTGAGGAGCAGGACCAGGGCATCCTGCACAGATTAATCACCTCCCAGCATTACACAGGCCAGATACGCCCATATCAGCCCCGAGAGGTGGTCTGGGGTGTCCATGGATGTCAGAATTTCACGCTCAGCACTCACCAGCTCTGCTTCAACATAGTGAAGCCTATTCACTACTGATATCCCAGGGCAGTCGGGCTGGGTCAGGATGGAGGCACAACATTCACGCTCCTCCCCGTGCCCTCATTCCCTCCAGAAAACAGTATCCACATAGCCCACAAGCTGCTTGCCAAAAACCTGGAGGTCTCTGAATCAGGACTTCACTCCAGCCAAAAGCTTCACTCTCACAACAGGGAAACATTCCCAGAGGGAAGCGCCAGCATCACTTGCACCAATAGAAGGAAAACCCAAGGATGGTGCGCTTGTTCAGTCCTCTGCCGAGATGCTGAGCCACCAAGGAGCTACCATAAAGTATCAAGGCGATGCACCAAACGCGGCGCAGTGGCTGGTTCATCGCCCCGGAATCATATGCAGGGAGCAGGGGCTGGTGCATCACTCTAGGTCGTTCCTGGGGATCCAAACCCGGCTGGCAAAGGACCATCCCTGAGCCAAAGGAGATGCCTCCCTTGGAAGTGTCTAGGCTCCCAGAGAAGGGTAAAGCCCAGTTTGCCTGCAAGAAGCCGGACGAGCAGCAGGCGCAATTTCACCGCTACCCACGCGGCGGCAGTGCCAGGCTGCCCTGTCTGCTCCAGCCCTTCCCAGGGCTCTGGGCCGAGCCCGCCACAAAGGGATCGGGGTCGCCCCACACTCTCCAAAAGGGAAGGACCCGACACCTGCAGCAGCCCTCGACACCCTGGCACCCATTCAAATGCAGATGCCTCCTCATCATCCTCTGCTGGGGACTTGATGAACCTGGAAACCCCCTGGAATTGCATTGACCTTTCAGAAAAATACAGCATCACCCCAAATCCCCTTTTCCCTTTGGCTCCTAGAAGAAAGAATTCCCTGGAAAACCCTCTGGAAACCCCCAAAGTTCACTGCTCTTCCTAGCAATGCATTCCATGCCTTGCACTCCCTCTTGGTCACTGCCTGTCTTCCAACATCAAACCGGTCACAGCGGGGCCGAGCATGGGAGCACCCACCCCACTTCAGTGCTCTGAATCCCCTTGTCAACTCCAGCACTGCCTTCCCGGGCAGCTTCTCCAGTTGCCCCATGGAAACCTTCCTCGTGTTTCTCTGCTCACAGCACATGGGAGTCCCAGCGCGCCAGGGGGGCAAACCCAGGCGTCTGTCTGCAAGCTGCTCACTTACAGCTCGCGAGGGAAACGCCGCTAGAAGGTTGCAACTGACTTTGCGAGGCTTCTCCCCTTCACAGCTTTTTGTGACAGCCACCCATGAAGTGCTGCCGTTGGGGGTACCAAAGCCAAGAGGGACAGACGCTGGATGCGAGGGTGTCAGCAAGGCCCTGGCGCCGGGCTTGCATTGCCGGCATGGTGACACAGCTGATGGCACCAGGACAAACACACACTTTGCCCGCGGGATCCTCAGGCTCCGGCGTTGGAACAAGGCACGGCCCCTTCCCTCCTGGTGTTTCATAGCTCCCAGCTATGTTTGCTTTACACTTTGGCGCCAAAGAAACAGCAGATGGCACGGCTTCTCCTCACTCCGCTGCACGGCTTGCGGCACCCTCAGCGGCTGCCGGTGCCACCTTGCACCCTGCCGAATACAAGCGTATCGCTGCCGTGCAGAGTGCCAGCTCGCAGCGGTGACCACAAGCACCGACAGGTCTGACGGCCCTGCTGGGGACCATCCGGCGGATGGGCATGGACAGAGGAGGGGGAAAGAAAGCAGGTCCCGCCCCATTGTCACAGCAGCCCTTTCTGCCTTTTCTGGTTTCACTTCCAGATTATTTTCCTAAAGCTCCAAGTTTAAGAGTTCCTGGTTATTGAATCCAGGGGATGCCCGAGCTGCCGTCCTCCCCACGCTGTAAGGACCACACACCTGGAGTTTCTCCCCACACAGCACAGGGTGCAGAGGACTCCGGTAGTCCTGGGATGCAAAGGGGGACGGATGCTTAGGGTGAGCAGGTGACGGGGGACACACAGCCTCCGCCCTGCGAGTGCCAAAGGACAGAGCCAGAAGCCTGCACTCGGGCAGACCCTGCAGTGAGGCTGTAACACACGTGTGCCCAGGCGGGAAGCTCTCAGCAGCCTGTCCGCAAAGTAGGGCCCCCACTTGCTCCCCAGGAACCCACTGCATTTCCACCCCTTCCTGGCCCAGCCCCATCCCAGACTCCTGTCCCAGGCTCACCTCCCACAGCGGGTTAATTAGCAGCAGCCAGCTCCAGCCCACAGCTGTGCAACGGGGAGGAGGGCACCCACTTTCCTTCCACTTCCCCTCAGCCTTACAGCTTTACAGCCAGGCTGTATCCACACAATCCTCCCCCGGCTGGGCAGCGCAGCAGGATGGCGGTGGTCAGGGACTGGGATTTTGGAGGCTTCTCTGCTTGGATCTTATAACTCCACTGCACGTGTGATGACTGTCGGTGCAGTATCCGCAGCGACTCAGGAGGAGCCCCCGGCGCTGGCTCTCCTGGCAGCCAGCAGTCCCTGCCCCACCGCTGCGGGTCCCCGGGGAGGCTCGGCGAGGAGCCAGGCACGGGGACATGGCTCCCTCATGGCTGGCAGGGGCTCGGCGGCGGGAGCCAACCCCCCAGTGCGTTGCCCTGCCCCGCACTTAGCGGGGCACCCGAGCAAAACTGTTCGACATGGCTTCCCAGTGGGGAGCCCACTCAGGCAAACAAACCCCGGCAGCCTTAATCTCCTCAGCAAGAGCCCGGTGGGCCGGAGGGCGGGCGAGAGGGAGGGGGCCGCAGCGGGACTGCGGCGGCCGGGCAGGGAGGCTGGGGCTATTACCATGCTCTCATTCTTTCGGCTAATCCTGACTTCACACTTTAACCTGATTGAGCCTTGTTTGGCGAGGCGGCTCCTCGTGCGAGCGTGAAGGGATTAGGGCCGGACGCAGCAGGGATGTAATTGCTTCCCAGCAGCGCTGGTCCCACGTCCTCTGAGCCCCCCGCTGCCTGCCAAGAGCGCTGGGGCAGCCTGGCAGCCCTCCTGCATGGCGCTCCCCTCGCCAGGCAGCCCAGCTTGGCAGCATCACCACAGCTGGCTCTGCCCGCGGTGCAGAGGTCTGTCTCGCCCAGCGTTGGCAGCTACCGGGGCACCTCCGTCCCCAGAGGGAAAGTTGCAGCCTGTGCCATGTCCTAGGCATGCCAGCAAGGGCTGTAGGGACACGCCACCGCAGGTAAGCGGCTTTCCGCCCTGGCAGCGCCCGCATGTCCAGAACTGGCTGCTGGCTCCAGGCGGGTGAAGCGCAGGGGTTGCTCTCCTCTTTCATTTGTTTCCTCCTTGGCTTCCAGGCTGGAAGCTCCTTAGCATCCAGTGGTCTCCCAGACCCTTTTCCACTCCCTGGGGCAGATCAAAGGCATTAACCCTTCAGCTGCTGCCAGGTTGCTGCTCCCACAATGAAAACACATGACAGGTGTGTTCACCGGTGTGCTCACCAGCCAGGCACATCCCCCAGCAGCTCCGCTCCACCAGCACTGAGACCAGCCACTGCAGACACCAGCTTGGCCACAGCAACCATCCACCAAGTCTCGAGCAGACAAGGCAGAGCAGCCAAAGCCATGCAGCCCTGGGCAGCACCAGCGTTTCAGGCTGGGATAGGTGCTCCCCAGATCCCAGCCTCACCTTGCTGGCACTGTGCCAGAGGCAGCTGTGCCAGGGTGCTGCCAGCATCTCCCCAAGCCAAAGGGCCTGCCAGGGGCTAACCAGCAAGGACCACGGCACCAGCAGCTACTAAGCAGCCCAGTGTCCCTCAGGTCAGCCCACACATGCTGTTTGTCCCAGCACAGCAGAAGGACAGGCAGAGCTGGGGCTGCCCCGCTGGCACTGCTGTTCACCTCCACCGCCTGACAGGTGACAAGAGCAAGTATGAAGGGACAGAAAGACTCCTGCGTTACACAAGATCGATACACTGATCAGCGCCTGCATTAGTGGCCGACAGCCCAGAGTCCCCCGGGGGTTTTGCGCTCCTGTTCCTCGCTGCAGAGGACGAGTGGCTGCACCCCTTGCTTGCACCGGCATCAACACCCACAGCCCT